CCCCAAAACCCCAAAACCCCAAAACCCCGCGCAATATTATAATTATTGAAAATGGAGCATTATTCAACTATCGAACACGGAACTGAAGGTTCTCGTGAAGTAGAAGAAATGTATTATGAAGGTCTTTCCAAGAAGACTCTTGATAAGTAAGTCACGACAAAAAAATCATTTTTAACTATTCTTTGCATAGGGAAGATAGATTTGGAATAAACGCAATTGTAGAGAATGTTTCCAAACCATACAGCAGCTACTCCTCTCCCGCTATTATAACTTATGGAACTAATTTCAAAGAGAGGAAGCTACAGAATGATTGTAAGTTACAACAGAAAGTTTAGAACCTTCATTCTTTTTTATGGCACTTCTAAATCAGAAACCTTTATGAATTCCCCATTTCCTTAAAAATCACTAAAATAGGTTTGTGATACAAATAAAGAAGAAGGCAAAGGTAGCTGCATTGACATAGAAGATGAGACATATGCTGAAGTTTACTTCTACTTCAAATATAAAAAGGTTATTGACATGATGTATCCCAGAATTCATATCTGTAGTGAAGATCAGAGGGAATTTTTAGTCGAAGAATTAGGTAAAAACTCAATATTTAAGCTTATGTATCATCTGCTATAGGCAAGAGAAAAAATAAATATGAGGTATTCAAGCTAATTTTCATTCATGAAAAATAACTGTTTGGCTTGAAAATTCAGAAAGAGCTTTGCTGGGTTACCGATCGTCCTCACTCCAAAAAGTAAGTTTTTTTAGAAATTTAATTTTGAACTTAAGTTAAAATTAATTTAGAAAGAGAAAAGATATGCCTTTCGACTTGTTGTTTCATTGTGGATAAGAATAAAAATATATGCATTTGTAGAAGAATTCCAAAACCTGAGAAGCTAGCAGGTTGGGGAGTTCCAGGAAAAGGAGCAGTCAGCAATAAAGAAATGAGAGCTGATATGGTAGAAAACTTGAAGAAAGATATTGGATTGACTATTACAATGTCAGTTAGGAAGGGCTCTGAGACAAAGTTCTTTTATGAAGGAGATCGAGTAATCTTTGAGCCAAAGTATCTTCATCAGTGCGTCAAAGATAGACATAACTATGAAAGTCTTAGCATTAGCTCTCATGAATTGATTCTATACTACTATATGCAAATTCCAGAGGCCCATGAGAACATTAACTTGGTAATGAGCAACATTGAGACTGATTGCATTGCTTGGATCTCAGCTGAAAATCTGAAATCAATATTATCAAAGAAAAATAAATCAAAACTGTTTAGCTGTAGTATGATAAAGCATAAGAAGAATACAAGAAAGAAGATTGAATTCAGCACTTTATTCCCTTACTATCCAAACGAATATTCAGGAGAAGGAATAGTAAAGGAAGATGCATACGCCTTTTTATACTTGGTTGACCATCTAGATGATATTTTCGAAGAATCTGAATAAGGACCAAAAAGTACAAGGGAGGCTTCTAATTAATTACTCAATAATTAGAGCTTCATAAGGGGTTTTGGGGTTTTGGGGTTTTGGGGG